GTGGAGCCTAGAAAAATGGTGCAGATGAACTGGTTTGCAGGCCAGAAATAGAGACACAGATGTAGAGAACAAACGTATGCACAGCAAGAGGAGAAAGTGGTGGGCGGGGGTGGTGGTGTGATGAATTGGGATATTGGGATTGACATATATACACTAATATGTATAAAATGGATAACTAATAAGAACCTGCTACATAAAAAAATAAATAAATTTTTTTTTTAAATCCCGTATTTAGAGGGACCTCCCTGGTGGCACAGTGGTTAAGAATCTGCCTGCCAATGCAGGGGACATGGGTTCAAGCCCTGGTCCGGGAAGATTCCACATGCTGCGGAGCAAGGAATCCCGTTCACCACAACTACTGAGGCTGTGCTCTAGAGCCTGCGAGCCACAACTACTGAGCCCATGTGCTGCAACTACTGAAGTCCATGCGCCTAGATTCCATGCTCTACAGCAAGAGAAGCCATGCAATGAGCAGCCCATGCACTGCAACAAAGAGTAGCCCCCGCTCACCACAACTAGAGAAAGCCTACATGCAGCAACAAAGACCCAACACAGCCAAAAGATAAATTAAAAAAAATACTTTATAAAACAAAAAACTGTATTTAGAGTGAAATTGGTAACTTAAATCCTTTAACTACTTCTAAAACATCACCAAAAAATTAAACATTCATATGGGAATGAACCCTTGAAGAAAGAAAAAGTTAGAAAATAATAAAAATGGCAGCAGAAATAAACTCGAAACAGCTCTAGGGAAAGTCCAATGAGATAGCGAAACTGTGGAAAGCTACTTTAGAGAAACAAAACATAAAGGAATAAAATTGGAAATGAGAAAAGTGATATAAGAATGACTAGGAAGATAACGTTTAAATTATAAAAGTATTGGTATTATATACAATTGAATATTAATTGAAAATTTTAATAAAAGGAGAGATCATCTGGGAAGTTACTTTAAATGACTCAGAAGTAGAAAACCTAAATAGACTAATAAGCAAAAAAGAAAAACCTAGAAGGTACAGAATAATTATTCTGCAAAGGGCTGCAGGCCTGGGTGATTGGTTGGTGAGTGAGTTCTTTCAAGTTCCCAAACAATCCACAATCCCTACATCATATAAATGAGGTTGGAACACTGAAAAAATTAAAAGATGCTTGATTATTAAGGTTATAAATTGTCACAACTCTGATATCAAATCCCTGCAAAGACAGCCCACAGAAAGGAAACTGTAGCCCAGATTCATGTAGGAACAGAGTCCAGAGATCCTAAGCAAAGCCCCAGCCAAACAGATGCCACAACAGACACAGCTCAGACCCAGGACCCACGGGGTCTCTCAGCGAAGCAGCATAACAAGACCCCACAGACGAGCTGTGAGAAGCAGCTGAGGGCACTTCCGCCGATGCCGAAACGAGGTCATAAAAATTTAACAAAATGAGCCGTTTCTCAATTCTTTTTTTTGTTGTTGTTCTTTAAAAATAAGGACTACGGGCTTCCCTGGTGGCGCAGTGGTTGAGTGTCCGCCTGCTGATGCAGGGGACACGGGTTTGTGCCCCGGTCCGGGAAGATCCCACATGCTGCGGAGTGGCTGGGCCCGTGAGCCATGGCCGCTGAGCCTGCGCGTCCGGAGCCTGTGCTCCACAACGGGAGAGGCCACAACAGTGAGAGGCCCGCGTACCGCAAAAAAAAAAAAAAAAAGGACTAGAAAGGCTCTTCCCCAGCACCCAGACTGCACACCCCCCGATCCCTGGGCAGACAGGGCCATTCACTGCCCACCACCCACCAGGAGGATAGTGGGGAGGCTGCCAAGGCCAAATGTCCTGGGAGTTCTGAGGAACAAAGACAAAGACAGAAACAAGTGTATGAGCTGCCAACCTCGTTTAAAATGATCCTTTGTAAACAGAGCAACTACAGACTTAGAAAACATAGGAGAATGAACTGAAAAACTTAGCAGAATAAAACAGCTTATGAACGGGCTGGATATAGGATAAATATCTACAAATCAACAGCTTTCCAAAACATAGCAACACTGATAACGAAAACACAGTGGAAAAAGAAATCCCATCCATGATTACAAGTAACATAAAGTGCTCCAGGAATAAACTAATTAATGTGAAAGATTTATGTGTGAGAAATGGCTAAAGAGTCTTGAAGAAACAGAGCCAAAAGAGCTTAATAAAACTGCAGTAGATGAAATCATCCTCTGGGTAAATGTACACAGAAGAAATGTGAAAAAATTACCCCTGCCTTCTGAGCCAGTGATTCTACTTTTAGGAAAACAAACCCTAAGGAAATAACCCTAAATATAAAGTATTTTGCTGTGGTATTTACCTCGGGGTAAGAAAAAAGAACTGTCATTTCAAACATAAGAAGAGTTCATTAAATTGTGGTTCATCTGATTTTTGGAATATTACACAGCCATTTGAAATATATTTATAACAATACAGAAACAGCCACATCACAGTGTTAAAGGGAAGGAGGCAGAGAGATACTCAGAAACTACTTAAATCACCCGACACTGCACCCAGGACAGCAAGGAGTCCAGGCAACAGCAGAAGCTCCATGACTCGAGGGGCTCGGGGACCAGGATGGTCTGAAGGAATAAAGCCCAGGAGGGAGGGGCCGGGACGGTCGAGGCTGCCCCCGCCTCTGTCCCTTGGATCATGTGTACCATCTGCTCGAGGCGGCCTCAGGAGACCCCAGTGTGGCCTGGCTCAGCTCCCACAGATGAGGCCATGTACTAGGAAGGTGCAGGGTACAGAGGCCAAAGCCTTTTGGAGAGGGCCCCAGTGTCCTCTTCAACGTTTCAACTGCACACGGCCTTTGACCTAAGCGTTTCCTGACAGCTACCCCTCGGCAGGCCGCAGATGCACACGTGGGGCCATCTGTGGTCACAGGGAGCTGGAAAGGAGCTCCTGTCGTGGGGTCCAGGCTGAAGGGCTTATGGTGAACCCACAGGGAACAGTGTGCCCTCCAGGAGAGGGCCGATGGGCAATGACAGCAAGATGGACAGTTGGGGAAATCAAAGTGTAGAACGGCTCAGCCCCATTTATGTAAACTAAAAGGATCCCTAGACACACACAAATAGCCACCGACAATGTCAGAGAGACGCCAAGTAGACGTTGGCAGCGGCTGCCTCTGGGAGTGGGGTCAGGAGCTCAGGCTCAGCCTGGGGGCAGTTATGTTCCCTGAGTGACTCTGGTAAATGAGAAAAACGGGTCTTCAGAGCACATCCTGTTTCGAATGCAGACAGTGAGCCGCTGCTGTGTGCAGTTCTCCCGTCTGTACCTTGAGCTGCTCGCAGGAACACCTGCTGGTTCTCCAAGTCCAGCCCCAAGGCCAAGGCTGTACCCTCTGCCGAAGGCTGAACCCTAGGCATGGAGGTGACCCTGAGGATGGCTGGGGCCCATGCCGACCTTGGCCCACGCCCTGCAGCTGGGGCTCCAAGGCCTCCCTGTAGAAGGCCTGGTGGCCGCGGGCTGGCCAGGGGCTGGGGCTCCTCCTAAGACTGCTGTCCAGCAGGATCTGGGCTTGCCCATAGGCGGGGTGCTGGCCACAGTCCCGGAGACTCTGGCCCAACTTGGACTCTGACGGGGAACAGCCCAGCCTGAGCGAGGGCCTGCATCTCGCCCGCAGCCCACCCTTCCGGCCCAGTGAGGGGGTGCCCAGAGAGCCTGTGCCCGGCTGACCACGTGGATGGCTCTGAGCCCTGAGGGTAGGCCCTGGCACAACTCCATTCTTGGGATGAAGGGTGACAGAGCGGCACAAGGCAGGTGACTGTTGACAGTTGTCACAGTGCAGACGAGGCCTTGGGACAAGTGCCTCATGAGCCTCTGTGCACTAGGCGTCCCTCGAAGGCTGCGAAGGCGGCACGGACGCTCTGCAGGCGTCACACGCGGGACACAGCACCGTGAGGCCAAGCCCCTCCTCAGCAAGCGCCTGGGGACAAGTGTGTGTCCTGAGCTCCAGCAGGGCCCCCGGGTTTCTCCAGCTGCCCATCCTTTACCCTCCATCCCCCACGAGGACCCCCTGCTTGTCTGAGCTCCTTCCTCAAGGCCCCCCTGAGGCTGAAGGTGTGGAGATGCCGTGAGGGACCCTTGCACCCTGGGGACACGCTCGCTCACGGGGCCCTGCGCCCACAAGCTGCGTGCAGGGGGCTGATGGGTGATGGCACCACCTTCCACATGGGCTTGCTTGCTCAGGGTGGCAGCAGGCATTCGGTGGACTCCAGGAGGTGACCACACAACGGAGGTCCCCGGAGCAGCCGGGCATCCTGCTGCGGAACTGGCAGCAGCTTTGGAAGCAGCTTCAACTGCTTCCAAAAGGAAAGGAAACCATCTCACACCCAGTCGAAAAGAAGGGCTCATCCCAAGAGATGGCAGGTCCACGGGCGCGGGCACCCCCAGGCGAGGGCTGGGGTGTGGACTCTGCCTGCCCTACTGGGCAGTGAGTGATCACCACCTCCAGGGACAAGGAGGTTGCCTGGTCAGGGGCCCACTGTCCACATCCCAACCACTCAGACCAAGGTCAGGGCTCCAACCACGCCCTAAATCATACTCCACATATGAAAATGTTTAAAGCACAGCCAACTGACTTTCACAGCAAGTGTCACGGCCTCTGCAGCGGCTCCCACAGGGCGCGCTGCTTTACGGTTCCTCACTCACTTCCTGCTGGTGATGCTGCAGCTCCCCTCTCCTGGGCGCCCTTCCCGCTCCTGTCGCGGGGTCCAGGCGACGGGCCTTGACTGACGGCCAGCGCGGCGGGCGAAGCTGCCCCGGACGAGGGCTGAGCGGGCCCGGCGGGCCTGGCTCCCAGGAAAGGAGAGGCGCACACGGCCCGGGCCCACCAGCACCCCCGGACTGACCTTGGTGGACCTGGACGTGCTGTTTGTAGCCTCTGTGACAGCACCTCGGCGGCCACCACGGACACAGAGCCCCACCAGCCCAAGCGGGTAACCTGCCCGCCCTCCTCCCAGGTGCGGACCTGCCTGAGGACACAGGCCCGGGCTCACCTGCACTGTCAGGCGAGCAGGCCTCGGGGTAGGCAGGCGCCTTGGGGATGAGCAGGTCGCGGCCCCCATGCCCACAGCTCTCCTGGCAGCTCTCACTGAGCAGCCGCTTCAGCACCTGGTTCTCCTTCATGAGGCGCACCTGCTTCCTGAGGTCGGCGTTCTCGATCATGAGCCTGTTCACCAGCTCGCTGCCCTCAGCCATGGCCGCGTCCTCTGTGCTCACGTGCGGGCCCGTGGCCCCATGGAGGTGGAAATCCAGAGCCCAGGGGCACTCCAGAAACACCAAGAGAAGAGCCCGGAGTTCCACACCCCTGGCCTTCCGCAGCCTTGTGATGTCGCCCTTAAAGCAGCGGTGCCCCGCGGCCACGAGGGAGCGGAGGGGAGGGGGCGGGAGGGTGGGGAGGGGGCGCCTGCGACCTCGCGGGACGGGCACCCCAGCGCAGGGAACAGCTCAGGCCGAGGCCCAGATAGGAAGGTTCTGGCATGTCCCAGGAACAGCGAGAACTCTGGGCCACACCCCTGAGGGAGAGGAGACCGTGGACGCAAGGAAGGCGGGCCGGGAGCCCCTCGACGGCCCCCACAGCCCACGCATCCCCAGCGGGCTCGAGGGGGCTGGCAGCTGGAGGCCACCTGCCGACGACACTCCCCTAGTCCAGAGGGTCCAGGCAGCACGTCAGTGTCCCCACACAGACCACCAGCACTGATTGTCAGGGACACTGACCATTACTGGACCCGAGGACCCCTGGCCAGGGCCCTGGGCCGTCTGGACCAACCACATGCAGAGTCCAGCCAGATTCTAGTCCTTGGTCAGGGTGACCTCCGTGACCCCCCTCCACTCCCACTAACTACCCGGGAGGGGCATAAACTCAGCACTGTTTCCTGGCTCCAAAGGCAGCAGGTGGGTCGCCTGCTGCTCTGCCTGAGGACACAGCCCAGAACAGGAGCAGGGTCTTCTCTCCCCTTCAGTGGACGCCTCGATGCCTCGAGGGCAGGGGGAGGGGGAGGAACCTCCATGCAGAACACAGCCCTTCCTTCCCCAGACTCACAGCTTAGCGTAACTTCGCCCACCCAATCTCGGGTGGGATTTGCAGAGAAGGGTTGCACCCCAAGACAGAGCTGACAGGTCAGCGGGAACGTGGACAGCGGCCTCTGAGGAAGGCCCCAGGGCAGATGCCCCACCAGCCTCCTGAGAACAGGGCCGGGCGTGAGTAGCTCCCCTCCGCCGGCCCCTCCCCTCACACTTACAATGCCATTTCTTCCCCCCCACAAGAAAACCCTCTCAAGGTGGTACCCTCCAGCCATGGACCTGGGAACATCCTGCCAGTTTCCTGGTCATAATGCACTTCCCTTCTAACACATCACTGGATTCAACTTCTAATATTTTAAGTATTTTCTATATTCATGAGGGAAATTGATCTGTATCTCCTTTTCTTGTCATGTCCTGGTCTGGTTTTGCTATCAAGGTCACATTGACCTTATACAATGAGTTGCAAAGTGTTCCCTCCTCCATTTTCTGGATGTTGTGTTACATTGCTATTTCTCTCTTAAATGGTTGATAAATTCACCAGCAAAGCCAGTGAGCTTAAAGTTTTCTTCCAGGAAAGCTTTTAGTTTCTGATTCAATTTCTTAAATAGATATAAAGTCACTTAAGTTTTCCATTTCTTCTCATGCCCATCTAGACAACAACTGTGTCTTTTGAAGAATTTGTCCACATCATCTACATTGTGGAGTATTGGCATGACATAGCTCATATTTCCTTATTATCTTCTCTGAGGTGTTATGCCTCTGAGGACTAATAGGTCCAGCCGAGGCGGAAAACCAAATGTGAAAGTGCAGAAACAGTGTTAGCAGGTTTTTGCCAGAGCATGTAAAGCAGAGCATGTGGGAACCGTGTGATCCAGGGAGAAGGGTGGCCAGGCTTAGGGGGGCAGGCTGGACGACTTATTTCTGCAGGATCTATAGTGAGGTACCCTTTTGTATTCCTGATATAGGTTGTTTTCTTTCTTACTTGGTCAGACTAGAGGCTTGTTACTTTTCTCAAAGCATCAACTTTTGGTTTCATTGATCTTCTTTTACGTTTTCTGTAGCATTTGACTTCTACCCTTTTGTCTGGTATATCCTTCCTTCTACTTACTTTGGTTTTAAGATTCTTAAGATGGACAATTAAATCATTGATTTTTTTTTTTTTTTTTTTCACGGGCCTCTCACTGCCGTGGCCTCTCCCGTTACGGAGCACAGGCCCCGGATGCACAGGCTCAGCGGCCATGGCTCATGGGCCCAGCCTCTCCGCAGCATGTGGGATCTTCCCAGACCGGGGCACGAACCTGTGTCCCCTGCATCGGCAGGCGGACTCTCAACCACTGCACCACCAGGGAAGCCCAATCATTGATTTTAAACCTTATCCACAGCATTAATATGTAAGCCTGTAAACATTTCTCTAAGCACAGCTTTAGCTACATCCCACGAATTTTGACATCATGTTTTTATTTTCATTCAGCTTGAAATATTTTCTAATTGCCCTTGTGCTTTTATTTTTTACTATAGATGATTTAGAAATGTATTGTTTCATTTCCAAATATTTGGGATTTTCTAAGTCTTTTTGTTACTGATTTCTAATTTAACTCCACGGTGGTCACAGTACACTCTTTACAGTTTCAATCCTTTTGAATTTCTTGAGACTTGTCTCATGATCCAGCATATGGCCTATCTTAGTGAATGAGCACTAGGAAAGAATGCCGGGAGCTGTACAGATGCCAATTCCTCAAGATGGTTGAAGGTTTTGTCTACGGTTGCTGAGACAGGTATTACAGTCTCCCACTTCAATTGTGTATTTGTCTAATTCTTTCTTTAGTCCCACCAGTTTTTGCTTCATGTAATTTGAAGCTCTGTTATTAGGTGCACATACATTTAAGATTGCTATGCCTTCTTGATGAATTGACATTTTTTTTGTTAGTAAATGTCTTTTTATTTCTGGTACTATTCCTTTTCCTGAAATCTACTGATATTAATATAGCACTTTTTCTTCTTACTTGTGTTTTTATGTTATGTATTTTTCTAAACTTTCACTTTTATCCTGTCTGTATCTTTACACTAAAAATTTCTATGGACAACATTGATGGGTCATGCTTTTTCATCCAATGTTAACAATCTGTAGTTAAAATCTCTGCCTTTTAACCAGAGTGCTTGGCCCTTTACAGTTAATAAAGTTATTTAAATGGTTGGTGTATTAGTCTTCTAGGGCTGCCATAACAAACCAGCACAGACTGGGTGGCTTAAACAACATTTATTTTCTCACAGTTCTGGAAGCTAGAAGTCCAAGACAAGGGTACTGGTAGGGCTGGTCCCTCCGGTGGCCTCTCTACTTGTGTGCAGACGGCCCACCCTGGGTCCTCATGTGGTCTTTCCTCTGTGTGTGCGTTCCTGGTGTCTCTCTCTCTTACAAGGACACCAGTTCTACTGGATCAGGGACCCACCCTTAGGACCTCATTTAACCTTAATTATCTTCTTAAAGGCCCCATCTCCAGATGCAGTATCATATGAGTTTGGGGGGGGGGGACACAATTCAGTCCATAAGAGTTGGGTTTAAGCCTATTATCTTATTTGTTTTCTATTTGTCCCATCTGTCCTTTGTCTTCTTTTTCTCGCCTTCTTTTATTTTAGCAGGGTTATTTTACCTCCTTTATTAGTTTACCAGCTGTACCTCTTTCTTTTTTAGTGGTTTCCTCTAGGGTTTACAGTAGGTTTCTTCTGCTTATCACAGTCTACCTTTACATAGCATACCACTTCTACACGAGGTAGGAGCCTCCATCCTCCTTCAATATCCTTTGTGTTGTCATACCTTTTACTTCTTATGTTAAAACCACCATTATTATTTTTGCTTTTAAAAGTTAATTTTAGGGACTTCCCTGGTGGCACAGTGGTTAAGACTCTGCCTGACAATGCAGGGGACATGGGTTCGAGCCCTGTTCCGGGAAGATTCCACTGCTGCAGAGCAACTAAGCCTGTGCGCCACAACTACTGAGCCCACGTGCCACAACTACCGAAGCCCGTGTGCCTAGAGCACATGCTCCGCAACAAGCCACCGCAATGAGAAGCCCGTGCACCGCAACAAAGAGTAGCCCCCGCTCACCACAACTAGAGAAAGCCACGTGGAGCAACGAAGACCCAACGTAGCCAAAAATTAATTAATTAAAAGAAAAAAAGTTAATTTTAAAGAAGAAATCTTTTAGACAAAGGGGGAAAGCTTCTATATTTACCACACACTTCCCACCTGGTGCTCCTCATTCTCTGAAGATCAGCTTCCACCCAGTATCTCTTTCCCACACCTAAACAACTGAACATTTCTCGTAAGGCAAGGCTGCTGGATGATTCCTTCAACGTTGGTTTGTCTGGAAAAGGTCCACTCTGCCTTCATTTCTGTTTTCTTTGAATATGGAATTTAAGGTTTCAACACTTTGAAGACATCATTCCGGCATGTCTGTTCCTGATGAGAAGTTGCTTGTCATCCTTGTCTTTGCTCACCAGTACATAACGTGCCTGTTTCGTTTGCTTTTAAGATTTATTCATCCTTGGTCTTCATCAGATTATCGTGAGCCTTAAAGTGGGTTTTGGTGGGGTTTTTGGTCTGTCTGCTGAGGTTCATGGATCTGTGGGCTTACACGTCTTGTGTTTGGGAAAATTTCAGCCATGGTTTCTTCCAATGTTTTTCTGCCTCCCTCCCACCCTCCCTCCCGCTTTTCTAGGTCTCAGATGACACGTGTTGGACCACTCAGTATTATCCAACAGGCCACTGAAGCTCTGTTTGATGTTTTAAGTCTTCTGGCCACCGTCAGGCCGCTTCAACGCTCACCTATTCCTAGAGGGCCCAAGGGCAAGCCCTGCTCCCCTACCTTCCCAAGAACCAGGGGCATCAGGGAACACGAGGCCTCAGGCTCGCTGCATCCTGCACAAGAGGCCTGGCCGTGGGACAGGCATCAGAGGCTGCCTAAAGCCACCAAAGTAGCTGTTCTCCACCATGTGCAGCACGGGTCTCAAATGGCCCCTGGGGCACCACTGCCCTGGGAGGAAAGCTGCAAGTCACATACCAATAATAGTCATCACATAGAAACTATTGGTTGGATTATTTTCCCAGAAGAAAACAAGTAACTCTGAAGTTATCGCTATCACCCTAATCCTGAGTGAGGAAAGAGGGTTTTCAGAACAGCACCAGAAATTCCAAGTGAAAATGCCAGGCACATGTCTTTGAGGGGAGCCCAAGGTCAAGACATGCTGCCCCAGTGCCCCTAGTAAGTTTACCGAGCTCTTCGGAGCTGCGTCTTCAGCTTCCTACGGCTGCCACTTGCGAGGGCGGT